TCAAACGTGATGATGGCTCCGGGGAGCGGAAGATGCGTATAGTTGTCAATTACCAGGCTCCAAATGCCCTTACGATAGCCCCTGATTTTCCACTACCTCCCATTCAAACCATTCTGGAGATGCTGGGAGGCGTCAAGTATTTTTCCACCTTGGATCTTGAAGCAGGTTTCCATCAAATACGTATGGCTAAGCAAGACCGGTGGAAGACGGCTTTCCGGTCCGTTCTCGGACTATTTGAGTACCAAGTGATGCCCTTCGGCCTTAAGGGTGCTCCCGCTACGTTCCAGGCCAATATTAATGCCTATCTATAACCTTTATTGGGACAGAGCATCATTGCGTACCTAGATGATGTGCTTATCTATAGTTCCGATATTTCTGGGCACGTTTCTCTCCTGCGACAAGTTCTCAGCATTTTTCTTAGACACCAGTTCTGCCCAAAATTCCGCAAATGCAAGTTTGCAAGGCAAACAATCACATATTTGGGTTATACTATTACTGCTGAAGGCATCAAACCTGCAGAAGATAAAATCGCAGCCATCCGGCATTGGCCAGAGGTGCTGGAGAACGAGATGCAGGAGCTCCAGTTCCTCCGGTCCCATAAATTACTGTCATATGTTTATGGGACCGGGCTATGCAGACGTCGCCCGGCCGGTGGTTGATCTTACGCGTAAAGATGTTAGTTTCAAATGGGCAGAGCTTCACATGCAAGCGGTGCGGCAGCTCAAACAGCGCTTAACCGACTTCACTACATTACAAGTTCCTGACACCACGAAACCCTTCGAGTTGTACACGGACGCCTCTGGTTACGCAATCGGAGCGGTTCTGGAACAAGACAGCAGACCCATCGGCTTCCTCAGCCAAGTCATGAACCCCACGCAACAGAGATACTCGATCTACGACCAGGAACTCTTGAAGTTGGTCATGGCACTGGACAAGTGGTCGCACTTGCTCCGTGTCTCCAAGGTAACGGCTTACACTGATCATCAAGTTCTCACCCATCTCCAACGCCTCCAAGCATCGAAGCCTCTGCGAGGACGCACCGCCCGGTGGCTAGACTTTCTTGCGGAGTTCCCGGATTTGCACATCACGTATGTTCAAGGAGCGCACAGTCAAGTTGCCGATGCCTTGTCTCGCCGTCCCGGCCTTCCTAACACCTGCTTGCACGACACACCATCGGTACTGCTGATGCTCGCAATAGGACAAGCGAGCGCGGCTCCCCGCTCTCGTGGTCGGCCTCCCAACTACAGGGAGCTCGCCGGAATTCGTTCGCAACGACCTAGACGACGCAGCATGCCGTCCGCACCTTCACCTGCGCCGCCGGAACCCAACACAGAGCCGGAACATCCTACACTCACAACGAAGACGCCAGCTGACCCTCCTGATGTGCGCCATTGGCCGCAAGCTTACTCGAAGTGTACTGTTTTTCGCGTTCCCCACAAAGCCGCAGCAAACCAACCACGAGAAGCTCTGCAAATCGAGCTTTGTAATCGCCAATTTACCTTTCGCTACGTAGAGGCTTACCTGCACATCCGCGTTCATGGACTGTGGCGCATCTGTGTCCCACAGTTCCCTGAGTTCCTGTTCAATTGTAATACCTTGCAATGCATTAGTCTGTTCACGTAATGCCTTTGCCGAAGTAAAAGAAGTTGGAGCCGCAAAATGCATGCTAGCTTGGAATTGGAGGCAGAACAAATGGTCAAAATCATCATTAAAAACGGTATTCTCTCTCAACAACTAGATCTTGCCTCTCCGGTGCTTTGCGTGGCGGAGGGGTGCTTCCGTTCGTCTAAGGCACCCAGAAGGACCATCGTAGGTTTCCTGCTATACTAATATGTAGATTTCCTGCTTTACTAATATGCACAGAAAAGCCCAAATGCAGAGTAAACAGTGTAATAGTTTCTTCGAAACGCTATATCTTTAAAGACAAACAGAGTGAATCCGCACTCACACAGACCACTAAGCACATAGCCCAAGTATGTAACTGTGGAGGAGTAAACTAGCACGAATTCCTTAACCTAAGTTCCAGTACTTTCCCACGTTGAATTGTGCTGAGAGCATCTCTGGCAAGCACTTACGTTGGGCAGTGTGAGCCAGAATAGTTCGGCTTGTTGTCACGACGGTGGGCTCCCGGTCCAGCCATTTTCAACAAGTGCATCACTGTAACTGTGTTGGAACCTTTCACTGAATTGCCGGTGCGGAAGTGTCACCTGCGAGGATTACATACTTTGCCGAGCAAGCCTTAACCGTCAATATAGTCAGTTCAGCCACCCGCCAGTTGCCACCATGAGGACAATAATGCCTCTCTGCCGGGTTCGCAGCGGCAAAAAGGAAGCGTTTCTACTCTTTTGTAATAGAATGCAAGAAAAATGCAGTTTGGTCCCAATTTATCCTGTCTTTTCAATGCTCCATTCTTTGCCACCCTGTGACCGGGGATGGCCTGCTGGGACGACCACACAGCTCGGAAACCACGAAGAAAGGGACCTTCTTCTTCATTCGACCCTTAAAAAACTATTCATATATTTCTGTATAGTCAGTTTTAATGATAAATTGTCCTTAGCTAGCCCGTGGTGCTTGTCTAGATAAGCCCTGTCGTGGCTTACTGGTTGTTCCGTCCCTGTCTACGCCGACGGAACTGCTCCCCACAGCACAGCCCCAGGCTCTTTCCAGTATTAAAAATAATAGAGAGTCACTTAATCGGCGGCAAACAGTTTACTTACTCTGTGAAACTGGGTTCCACAGTCTTGGGCCACCAGTGCTCCTGTGGAACGTGAACTCCCGCGCAGTGTCTTGCTGTGTTGTTGCGATCCTTATCTCCGCTTTACAGTCCTGATTCTTTTTTGTGACTGCCAGGTCATAAGATATTCGCGCTGACGTCGAAAATAAGTGTTACGAGCCCTCGCTTGTTCCTGCTCTCCAGAAGGGGGCACTCGCAGGCGTCCCAGCGAGCCGTGGCGTGCGCAGAGCACGTCTTAAACTTTTTTAAATTGTTGGAGCTTTATCAACTTTGCTCTGTATCTTTTTAGTGTATGCCGCGCATGAAGCTCCTCCTGCACTCCTCTGGGGAGAGTTACCTGCTAGTCCCACAAGCTTAGGTGGCGCTCCCGAAGTCACGACAAGGATGAGTTACAGCGCTTCTTCGGCTCAGAGGGGTCTTACTTCACCCTCAGGTGTGTCTGAGTGCAGCGAAAGTACAAATGTCGGCTTGTTGACCGCTGGTATGGATCGTAGCTGCGAGGACACAGTCTCCCTCTCTTCTCACTCAACAGTGTCGTCTTTCCCGGGCAGCCGGCCTTCTCCTGGAGATGAACGACGGTCTAGCAGCACCCCCAGTGGGGCCACTGACCAGCATTTTGACTCCACAACTGATCTGAAAAACCAGTTGCTGTCCCTTTCCCATCCACTCCTCAGCTGCCTCCCCCTGGAGCACACAATTGTGGCCGACAGACGCCGCGTTTTCCACAAAACGCAGCTGTGCAGACACCTGGCATCGGGCTACTGCCGCAACGGACTTGACTGCCCTTTCGCCCACTCAGAGACAGAGCTCCGGCCTGCTCCTCACCTTTCGAAGACAATGATGTGCCCGGCTGTGAAGGCTGGCGGGCTCTGCCCGAGAGGTAAGCCACATCCCGGGGGGCATTTCGCTGAAGGCCGCTTGGCAAAGTTCCCAAGGGCAGCAGTCTACAAGCGGCCGTGCAGCTGCTGCCACCTTCTTGTGCCTGTGGCCCTAAGATGTGGGGCTTGGAAAGCTTGTTATAAAACTTGTTATTGCACTTTTGTGCATGCGCTTCTTCTGCTGTGGCTGCTGCTGGGGCTTGCGCTTCAGTTCTGGCAGGGGGAAACTGCTCGTTCGCGCACAGCCGTCACGAGCTGCGGCGCACGGCTAATCACTACAAGACAAACATGTGTCGGTCGTGGCTTTCTGGGAATTGTTTGAAAGATGACAAGTGCACTCACGCGCATGGCGAACTAGAACTTCTGTTTTACCGGCACCGAGCTCTTCAGTCCGGCCGTCGAGACTTCCTCGACGAGAGAGAGACGGCAAGGATTGGGAAAGTGCCAACTTTGAGGAGTAGCTCCCCCAGCAAGTGTTCTCCCAAGCAGCTGAGTGCCGCGAGGAATTGCATAGCGGGGCCTAGCCCTCAGAAGAAGCCTCTGACGCAGCAGCTCAACAGTGGCAGCTTTGCAGGGTGCCCACCTAGGAAAGGCTACACCGGCAGTGTGCCTGCTGTACAACAAGTTGAACACAGTAGTCGCAAAAGCCTTACTCAGCAGCCCCCTGCTCTTCCTGTTCCTGCGGTGTATCCAGCCTCTCCAGATGTCCTTTCTGAAGCAGCAGCCCTTCTACAGCTAGCATCTCAACTCCAGGCTCTAGCACTTTCTCAATCAAGGGAAAACCAGGCGCTGTAGATCATATGGAGGACAAGATGACGCATCGTAATTCACGCCTCGTCTGCGGGAAACAGAAGGAACAGCTGAAGCTGCATCTTGATGTAGTTCTTTGTCTGGAGCCATCCAGCCCTTCTTCCAATGCAGAGGTAGCATTGCCTGTGGCGGTTTGGCCAGCCTCACACTGTGGGGAATAAGAAGCAGCTCGTGTTCACCATCACTTCGCCCCCCCAAAGGACGTCAATTTGTGAGGTGCCAGGTGTTCCGGCAGCCCCAGCCAGCCTACTGCACTGTTCTGCTTACGCCATTCCAGCCACTATTCGCTGCATTACTACTGCGCCTTTTCGTGGCTCTTCTCGCTGGCTGTTTGCCACTTCTTGCCCTTTGTAAAGGGCCCCAGCGGCAAGTGGCAAAGGCGTACCATGGTGTTCGTTGTTTTAAGTTTGTTTGAAACTCCAAGCGCTTGGCCTTTTTGTTGGTTGCTTGTTTGCTGTTTTTGTGACGGAATCAATGATGATACTACTGGTGAGCTGCTTACTTGCCCTTTCCAAACACAGTAAGTGTGCTTCTGTTCGAAAGAGCAACGCAGGAGCAAGGGGTTGGGCAAAGAATTGAACGACGGGGAGCAGTTGCCATGAGGAGGTGTTTGGTTTGTCTAGGCTGTTAAAGAGCCTCCTTCATTGTCGCTGCGGCTCGGTCTCCAGTGGCTATGCTAGTAAGGCAGTGACCGGTCTGCTTTCAGCATTTGGAATTTGTTTCCACATACTTGGTTTGCAGTGCTTTCTCCCCCGTGTAGTCGAAGCTGCGCTCGTTAGTAAATTTTATAAAGTCACAAAAGTTTCCTTAACATGAAGGTGCACGTATACGGCTGCAAAATACGCCGTGAGCACCACACGCTGGTGTGTTGCCACCTGTTGTGTGAAAGGCATCAAGTTTTTTATTTTTCTCCGCAATCGTACCCCTTTGTTCGCATTCTTTTATTTCTATATTGTTGGAGGTTGGGCCCTTAAGCGCGGGCAATTTGCATGTATGGCTCCTTCCGTTTTAATAAGACAAACAACCTGTTGAGCTAGGGGATCAGCTGGCTCGTTTTTCTCTTTGCGCTTCTGCAAGAGTGCGCAAAACACGGCAATGCTTCAAGTAGGCGTTAGTGCAGCGCAACCGGATGATTTGATCCCCTCTCCTTTCAATCATTCTTCGTATAACTAGGCTTTGGCTACCATTTTCCGCTTTTTTACTTTTCCGGAGTTTCTTAGGTAGTGTAAGGGCAAAGTAAGGGAAGCATAAACTGAAGTGTCGTTAATGTAGGTTCACGTTGAATGCCGCAGTCTACCAGACCCGTCGAGCCGCAGCCAGGGCTTCGACCAAAAGCGTGCAGGTTTATTGTTCCAGGTAGAGTTCCTAGGAAACTAGCAAAAGGAACCAGCAACCCGAAGTCCTCGGAACGAATTTTGGCATTTCTAGGAGCCACGCCTATGTGCATACCCAGCAAAAAGCGACGGTCGTGCCTGCTCGTCCTCTGTGGTCCACAGGTAGCTTTTACTTTACGGGGTCACCTTTTTGGCTGCCTCCCGATACCGATCCACCGTCGGGACTATAACTTCAATTGCAGTGCCCGTAGCTGCTCTTCTGGGACTACTTACCGTTGAATGTGGCAACAACTAGAAAGAACAGATTTTGTGTGAAAAAGAGTTGAAAAGATTTCTCCTTCCCGAGCCCCAGCTGCCTCGCGAGAGGGCGGAAGAACACGGCATGACCCACACTTTGGCTGGATGGCAACGCTGCCTCAGAGCAACAACAGCATCCAAGCAAAAGCTCGAAACATCAAGCTGACTATGGGATACTTATACTCAAGTAGCTACGTTCAGGCTGTGCCGGCCGTCGTGAGCCACCCACGGGCTGGCGAAAGCCAGAAGCTTTGTGAGATTAGATGCCTACACTGCCACGATGCTTCAACCTTCTTCAACATGCACCGTACTGCTCCTACTGCCTCTAGCTGCGCTCAAGCATTCATTTGGCAATACACCACACATCTTTGACAGAGTCGGGGAGCCGTGGACAGCCACACGGCTGAGGTCGCGCCTCACAGACTACGGCGTAGCCTAGTTACTTCAATTTCACCAACAATTGGTGAAAGCTGTGAGACTTCTTCGGCTCACTTGGGCTTAACTGCGTGCACTAGTGTTCCACCAACACGCCCCTGGAGTTGCTCCCAAAGTATGCAATTCCCAACCAACTCTCTTTGGATTCCTCTTCAATGCGGTGACTAACTGTGGTGTAACTTAAGGAAACGTATCTCATGGAACGGCCCAAACCTAATTTCTTTGGTTAATGGCGCATCATTGTATCCCGGGATGGCAAGTGCACAAGATTGCTGCACTGTTCTAGTCATCACCATCCCACCAAACGAATGCCTTTTTGAGGGCCCCACAATGCAAGATTATTTCGGACTCCACCCTAAATTCAGGAGTGAACCAGACTTCTTCTCTTGGCTTTGGAGCTCAAAGAAGGTATGAAGATGCATGCGTTTGAAGCGAGCCAGGTTGATTTCCTTCACCAGCTGGCTGCCGCGCTCTCAGCATGATCTCAGCCAGCCCCAAACCCTGGGCTTTACTACCTTAGGTACTTGCGGGACCCGACAAACTGTCAAAATGAAATTAAAACCATCATATTTATAGTGCCGAACTAAACTAGCGTGCACAAGCTTGATGGCCAGCGTAGTGCTCGGCACTACAGCCGCCCGCATCTGCCACAGTGCAATTTCTCCTCGACTACCAAACGCCTCCTACACATTTTGTCCTCTGTGTTGTGCATTTTCTTTATAGTCCAAATAGTCGGAGCTGCAAATGCAATTTATTTTGGGTAGTACCGGAGGCGCCACGGCTGCTTCATTGAGCCGGTGTGGCTTTCCCACTTCAGCCGAAGGAAAGTGCACATATAAGTCCTAACGGCCAAGGGCCCGGCTGTGAGGAACGTTCAAGGTGGCATTCCCGTATAGTGAGGCTTCCTGAGGGCTCGCAGCCCGCTGTTAGTGGCTTGCCCGTTGACGGAAATGATGGGGGGCCCCCAGAGGGGCCCCCCGGAGAGTCAGCAACATGGGGGGTTTTCAGATTCAGGGGAAGCAGCGCAAGTTGTGAATGCTTATTACTGCAAATCTGTGCCTCCCATGCCGGACCCATGGCGCGAGCCTAATGCGAGTGACGACTTGATAGGCCTGCACCCAGAGCGGTGAGGAAGCCTTATGCTTTTGCTTCCTGGGTGGAATATTTCTTCTTTTTTCTAAAATTCTCTGCAGAATTGCGTGGTCTCGTTAAATATTCCACTTTAAATGAGAAACCTTGTGCTTTCGCCTCCTGGGTGAAGCATTTCTTCTTTTTCTGCATTTTCTGCACAGCACTGTGGTATCTCGCGGAACACTTCATCTTTTTCCGAAGTTTCTGCACAGCATGTTTTTCGGCATTGTGTTTCGCGTGTGTGGACTCAGACTTGCCTTTGTGAAGCAGCAAGAGGCTCACTTCACCTCTCGGCTCCGCCTGGCGACGCTGCGGCCCCGCGCCGTGTACGGCCCCGGCTTGCTGTCGAACACTTTGCCTCATCAAACGAAATTCTTCTGTCTTCACCAGCCCCTGCCTCCTCTGCCCATTCCCGAGGCGCACAGGTACCACCGGTTCACTCTGGTGGACCTTCTTGAACACGACGCGCCGGAGGTGAAGGCGGAGGCGGGAACTGAAGAGTTGTCTTTCTTCCATTCTCTTTCAGGTAGCAGCAGCAGCAGCAGCAGCAGCTCCGACAAGAGTGCGAAGGCTGCAGCAGCCAACGTAGCCGCGTTTCTCCTTTCTGCTGCGCGGACTGCTGCACTGGGGGAGCACGCGTTCCGAAAGGTGCCCATACAGCAGCAGCAGCAGCAGCAGCAGCAGCCAGTCGCAGGCAGCAGCTTGCTGCGATCTTTCTCAGCGCAAAGCATTCGCCAGCAGCAGCTCCAGCAGCAACACAGCAGCAGCAGCAGCGCCATCGGGGCAGCATCTTCCGTGTCAAGTAGGAGAGGCAGAGCTGACAGCTATGTGAGCAGCAACGTGCAGAGGCAGCTGCAGCAGAAGCCGCACATGCATCATCAGCAGCAACTGTACGCGCAGCAACAGCCGCAGCAGCAGGGAATGCTCCCGCAGCAGCAGGGAATGCTGCCGCAGCAGCAGGGAATGCTGCCGCCGCAGCAGCAAGAGTGGAGCACTCTGTCGGAAGCCAGGCAGGAGAAAAGACGGAAACCCAAACGCAGGAAGCTCGAAGATTGGTAGCTGCTGCAGCATATCTCTTTACATTCTTGTGTCTTCACGTAATTTTCTGGTGTTGTTGCTGTCTACTGTTGCTGCTGCTGTTGCCGCTGCTGCTGCTGCTGCTGCTGCTGCTGCTGCCCACCGCCGAACGGCACAGCTGAGCGAACAAGCGGCCGCAGCTGGAGCCAATTACGGCCATTTAAGCAGGGCAGCAAATGCAGCAGCAAATGCAGCAGCAAGTGCAGCAGCAAATGCAGCAGCAGCTGTTGGAGGGGCATAGGCTCTCCCCAGTTTTTAAGGCAAAAGTAGCTCGCACTGCTGTTGCTGAGAGACTGTCTACATCCATTAAGTCCCACTAGACTCCTTTTTGCTTCCTCCCAGAAGCTGAGGCTCTGCACGAGATATTAGACGGCTTATTTGCATCCTGCAGCAGCAGTTGACAGTATACAGAAGAAGAACTAGTGGCTTTATGCAGAGGCTCTCTTGCTGCTGCTGCTGTTGCTGCGCTGCGCAGCGGCTTCTTTGTCTGCGCTGCTTGCCAGCAGCCGCAGTGCCCCCATGGCTCTTCGCCGCAGCCACAGCGGAAAGTCTACAGCTCTGGCTTTATCTATTGTAGCTCTTAGGGCTTCGGGTCAACACTTAGTGGCCACGTGCAGGCCGAGTTGGTACGGAGAGCAGACAACTGGGGTTAATTCCCGGGTTTTGGCCGCACCGCCTAACTCCCGACTAATAAGTGCCCATAATATCGTG